GTGATGTGGCTGACAATGCCCAGGGATTTCCCCCCCCCCCTTTTTTTTTTTTTTTTTTTTAAGCGAGCCCCTGCGCGCATCCTGGGTGGTCGGCCCCGCGCAAACACAAATACAACCCGACGGCTAAGCTGGGGACAATGTCCGCAATGTAGACAAATGTCCGGCTCCTGTTGGAACCCTTTGTCTCGGCGCAGTTTTTGCATTTATTTCAGTGGCGAAATAATACTTGATTGACGCCCTCTTTCAGCGCGCCCTAACTGTTGGGAATAAATCTGAGGTTGTTCCTAGTTGTCATGGTATTCAACCGCGCTCAATGGCTATCTCTTCATCCATTGCGGAGTCCTCCTCGATATCGAGGGAACCCCTTCGGGCCAGCCACCCCAGCCCCGCTTCCTTCCCCTTCCCCGCGCGCCGAGCAAAGACAGCGAATTCCCACCAAATCTTGGGGTTACCGATGGATTTATTGAGGCCCCCGGAGCGGGGAGGGCGGCTCGGGTGGGACGGGATGGGGTTTAATTCCACCGAGCGGAAAAAAGAGCGGGGATAAATAACAGTGACAATCGCGATAGCGGCGGGACGGAGAACCCCGACAGGAGCCAAGCACGGGGAGGGACAGGCAGAGCATCCCCGGGGCGGCGCGGGCAGGGCTTTAAATAACGGTGATAGTATTAATAACGATAAAAATGATGAAAGACTCCCCCTCCGAACCCCAACAGGCGCGCGAACACCACGACACGGGCAGAGCGTCCCACAGACCCCGCGCCACGCGGGGCCCGAGGGCGGCGGGAGCGGGAGATGCCCAGGGGAGGAGAGGTCGGTCACAGCCCCGGGGGTCGCGAACCCCCCCCTCCACGCGCGGACATCGCTGCGCACCGAGGGAGCGTCCCGGTCCGCTGTGATGTCACCGGCGGGGGGCTGATGTAAGAGCCCTTTGACGTCAGGGGGGGGCGCGGGGCCGGGGCACAGCCCCCACAGCCCCCGCACCCACAGCCGCGCTGCGTGGGGGGAAAACCCGACGGCGGCTCGGCGGCTGTCGCGATAGAGCCAGGGGTTGTCCCCTAACACCCTTAATACCTTCTCCCCACTCAGTTCCCGGCTGCTCTCACGCGTGGGGGGGGGGGATGCTCCTGCGCTGGGGAGAGAGGTGGCGGGGCAGGCGTGGCTCGGGGGTGCCCTCCCGACCCTCTCCCGAGGGGATCACCCCGGCCGGGCTGGTGGCACCAGCCCACGGGAGGCCGCGGTGCGGGAACACGGGCTGAGTGGCGGCACGGGGGGACAAGCGGCTCTGCCCACGGAGGCTATTTCCCTGTCTGCGCTCCCGGGCCGCTCCGACACCCTCCTCTCGCCCCCGAGCCCCACAGGCTGCGTGGGGAGAGGCCTTCCCGCTCCACGGGTGGCGCGCGTGGGGTCAGCGGCGTTAACGCTTGTTTTTACACTTTGTAAGAGAGGGGAAGGGACCCTCGGTGCGGATGCGAGAGGGACAGAGACCCCCCCGAGCCGCTCCCCGCTGCCGGCCTGCCCCGCTCACGCGTGGGCTCGGCCACCGCGGACCCGCAGAGCGCGCAGGCGACCAGGGTGGCAGAGGGCGACCGAGTGGGTCTCGCCACGCCACGGAAGGCCCGCGGGTTGTGTTTTTAGGCGGTTTCGTGGCGTTTCTCCTCCCGGCCGCGGCCTGAGGGTCCCGCTCCTCGCACAGCGCCGGGGCTGCCCCTCTGCTTTTAGCCACTGACACCCCAGCTCCATCTCCTTCCCCACCGAGCCACATCCTACACGTGTATTATATATAATACAACAGAATGTGTAGTGTTCTAAGATATAATAATATATAATCTCTGTATGAAAGAGGGGAAGGGTGTCTGGTGGGAGCCTGCCGCTCTCTCTCCCCTCCCTGCCCGCACCGACCCCGCACCGCAGCTCCGGCACCAGCCGAGAAGGGGATCAATTTATCGTTTGGTGAGCCCAAAGGTGCGAGGTATTGTTTTCCCTCCCCTCCAGCCCACGGACAAACAAACAAACCGAGCGGGGCTGCACCTTGCCTCTCGGCCCGGATTAGCGGAGCCCACACAAAGCCTTTGTTAGGGGACAGGTTGATTTTATCTCTTATAGCGTGAGATCCACTTGGGATGAATGGGGAAAGGGAAGAGCCGCCCGTGTCCTGACAATTGTTCTGAGGAGCTTCACCTCGAGAGCACCCCTGTAAGTAACTC